GTCTTTTTTATTCATCAGACAGTTCACTCGCCTTACATGCCTACAATGATGCATATTGGGCTACCTGTCAAGATTCCAAGAGGTCTTTGACTCGTTATTGTGTGTTTCTGGGAAGTAGCCTTATAGTATGGAAGACTAAGAAGCAAGCAACTGTGCCAAGATCACCAGTTGAAGCTGAGTACAGGGTTTTGAGCAACACTATATGTGAATTGCAATGGTTGTCCTTTTTTTTTTTTTACAAGATTTGCACATTTCGATCTCTACTCCTATCCCTGTGTGATGTGATAATCAGGGACGGATCTAGAAATTAAAAGTAGACTGGGCTAGCATTTTAAAAACTCATTTTCGTAAAGTTCACATAATATTTTGTCTTCAAATATTCATTGAAGTTGTCCTCGACGAGCTTTTACAAAATAAAATTCATTATGTTCAGTTTGCACCGTATTTGACGTGGTTTCACTAGTTTGACGATCCCTTTTTCTAAAGAACGATGATGTCAATGTGGTTTTTCCTTTATTGGCAGAATGTTGGTGCTCCATGTGAATTTTCAAAAATTGTACAGTACTAATAAATTGATTTTTCATATGGCATAGTTATTAGCAAATTGAAATGCTTACGCATCATGACTTTAAATCCAAATATGATATACAACAACCACACTAGAGGATAAAAGTTGAAAAAAAAAACAATTACTACTTCATACTCAATCAACAAAACAAAAAATTGAACCCACATGATCCTAACAATTACTATTAAAATAAAAAATAGCTCCACTAAAATGAAAAGATAAATAAAGACAAGTAGACAAATAAAATAAATATCTAATAGAGGTTTAAAAATATAACTTACTATTAAAGAAGCAATTAAATCGTCTTCTTGAAAATAGTCTCTTTTTCGTTGAATAATTTTTTTCCTACTAAATTCATTGTTCTCGTGTTAGTGTCTAGTGGGAAGAGTGAATCAACAATATATAATATTTAATTAAAGTGGTGTTTGTAGTATTTAGACTTAAATAGATAAGTAAATTCTTTTGGAAGGTTAATAGGTTGGTTAATTGGGTTGGGCTAGATATACAATAATTTTTTAAGAAAACTTATAGTTGTTAAATATAAAAAATAATAGGCCTGGGCTTCAGCCCAGCCCAGGCCCAATGTAAATCCGTCTCTGGTGATAATCAAACAGCTCTACATATTATGGCCAACCCCGTATTTTATGAGAGCACAAAGCATCTCGATATTGATTGCCATTTGGTCAGAAAACCAGTTCAAAGCTGGTTTTGTCTCTCCTCAAAGTCTTTTATTCTCTACAATTGGCTGATGATTTTACTAAGTCTTTGGGTGTTTCTCCATTTAACATTTTACTGTTCAAGCTAGGACTTTGTGATATTTTCACAACTCCTGCTTGAGGGGGGTTGCACAATGTATAGGTTGGTCATTTGGGATATTCTGTTTTCTGTTTTTTTATTTCATTTGACCTTTGGGTCTAGTGAGAGTATTATAGACTTTTCCTTAGTCCTCTTCTTAGCATAAGAACTGTTTTGCAGAGTAATAACAAAATATCTTCTCCCATGTTTCCTGCAATTGTAGATTCCAACAGATTCTCCCATTCATCTATTTTTTTTTCTACTTCCGATCATTGTTTTACCATTTAACACAGATAAATAAATTTTATATTTGGCACAACTAACTGAAATTAATCTTAAGATTAATATCATCAAACAAATTCGATTTGTTTTTGACTTGAGAGCACAATTCACGGCACTGCCAAATCATACAGTATCTTAATGTATATTTCTTTGATTCGGTCCCGAAATTTTCATACAGTATCTTAATTTTCATTTGAAAATGAAAATGTCCTCCATAGAAACAGCGAGAGTCCAGAGACTATCTAGAAGAAAAATTTTACCTTCCAAAAACTTTATCACTATGTTTGGTTCGAGGGAAACTGAGGGAAGGGGAGGGGAGGGGAGGGAATTTTATAATTTTCCCATGTTTGGTTCAATTTTTTGTAGGAGGAAGGATTGATATTTTCCCTTCAAATCCCTCCTCCAAGGGAAAATCTCCTCCCCTCCAAAAGTGGAGGAATTTGGAGGGGAGGGAAAATTTTAACACATAAAATGACTATATTATCCTTTATGTATAAATTATTTTATTATTTTGTTTCTTACATCATTAAGGATATAATTGTCATTTCTACAATATTTTCCTTCCCCTCCATTATTCTAACCAAACAAGGTTTACCATTTTCCCTCCACTCCCCTCCTACAAAATCCCTCTAAATCCCTCCAAACAAGGTAAAATTATTTTACATCACTTCTCCTCCCTTCCCCTTCCTTCTATTAAAATCCCTCCCCTCCCCTCCCCTCAGTTGAACCAAACATAGCCTATATTATCTGGTGAGACAATTAATCAGCTTACCAAACACCAAAAAACTTTGGAATACAGTTTAATGTAGTTTAGTTTTATTCTCAACTAGTATCTTTTACCGTGCACATGCACATACACATGTGAGATCAGTTCGATTATACTAAACATTAAGTAAAATTAAAATTCAATAATATAATTAAAAAGTAATATAAATTATTGTTTATTATGAAAACTTTAATTATGCACAACATTATATCTTTCAATTTCTCCTCTATACGTAACAATAAATTTATATTTTTTTGATTTGTTATTTTAAAATTACAAGTAACGGTTATGGTCGAAACATTCATTTACCAGTAAATAACATATTAAACCAATATATTATGTTGCACACAGCTTATTCACAATAAAAATGTAAAATTCTACATTTAAAAAATTAATTTCATACGTATCACTATTATTACATATAACATTTAGAAAATTAAATTCTACTCGAAGTTGTTTTTTTTTTTTTTAAAATATAATTTAAATAGTGCATTCAACCAAAGACATACGTTATAGTTATCTTTATATATATATACTGTTTAAATAATTAATAAAAATAATAAGAGTTGTAATTCACTAAAATGTTGATATCACTACAAAAAAATTGTTATATTCCAACGAAAAATCCTATGGTAATATATTCCAATGGAAGTTTCAACGGATATTCCAATGATATAGTTTCCGTTGGAATCATTCCAACGAAAATATTCCGTTGGAATGTATTTTTCATTGGAATTTTATATGGAATTTGTTGATTCCAACGGCTATATTTCCAACGGCTTTTGACTGTAGGAATTTCCGTTGGAATATACAATTTTCGTTGGAATTTTTATTTCCACCACCGTTGGAAAATCTACCGTTGGAATCGTCAAAATCCAACGAAAATTCCAATGGAAAACTCACTCCAACGGAATATTTTTGTTGGAATTTCCGTTGGAATAATTCCAACGGAAATAATAGCATTGAGATATCCATTGCAATTGCCGTTGGAATTCTATTGGAGTATATTTTCGTTGGAATTTCATCATTTTCTTGTAGTGTATAGTATATATTCAAAACATAAAAGATTGCATTATTACAATGAAAAAATTGATTCAAGTAATATTGATCTAAATTATACAAATAAGTTACTGAATTTTTTTTTGTACAAATATAAAATAATAATAATATTTTTATATGTCCAGTATAAGTGTTAAATTAAAAAACTATACAAAGATGATTAATTTATTATTTTATGTATATATTAAAGTTTGATAAAATTAACAATAATTATTGAATTTTTTATAAATTCAAAATATTTATTTATATATATATATGTGTGTTACTTGAAAAACATGTAATAAAAAATAATACTATTTGCATCAATTCTCCTCCAACAATCACTCACCGATTAACGGCCAGCTGCTTGCTTCTAGTTGGGCAAATTAAGATCTTTTCTAAAATCACTTGCGTCAATTAGTAAAGGATCTCTGTGACTATGAACTCTATACCTAACAACCGCGTCCTGGAAATTATCACACAATTAAATAAACACAAAGCCAACCTTCCATATACAATAAATAAATCTACCATATTAATAAAATTATATTACTGTTATTTAAGTAATCAGAGAATATGATAGATTTATTTGTTGTATATAGAAGGTTGGCTCCACTATGGAGCCAACTGTTGGCTTCATAGCAAAATCGATAATCGGGAACCACAGTTAAATTCAATGATAATAAATAGCTACTCAAGGGCAGACGCAGCAATACCGGGGCAGAGACGTAAGCTTTACAAAGTACCCAAAAAAAAATGATAATTATTCTCTACATGTTCTCATATTTTATATCATGTATAATTATATAAATTCTAATCTTATTAATTATATCTTTTTCAAATATCAATTTTTTTTTTATTTTTGTATTGGATATTTATTTTATCGTCAACATTCATGAACTTCTATTTATAATATTTATTTACAAAAGGTATAAATCATATTATTAAAAAATCATTGACAAACACAATTTAATAATTAATTTAAAACTCATAACTCTAATTTTAAAACACCTAAAATTCAATATGAAGAGTTAACAAACAATAACAAGAGTTCAAAAATCTTAGTTATGCTGACTTTATATCAAATTTATGAAAGCTCTAAAGACCACATTTTTTTTTTCTTTTCAGACTTCTAAATATACATAGAGGGTTGCATAAAGGAACATATAGAGTATTAATCGATACAACTCCACATGAGCAGAAATTAGAAATCGGCTCAAACATAGAATTGTGAAAGGATTGATGTCATATTTCGTTCTAAAGGTAGAATTGCAATTTATTATTTTTCAAATTAAAAGTCAATTATACTTTTATAGATTCAAATAAAAGAAAAAGCTACTAAATAATCTTCTTAATTAATAATTAACTTAACAATTTTCTTCTACAATATAATTATATATGTACTATTTTCTTTTACTCACACATTCTAAACGTGGCAAGAATAAATACTTCACTTTGTTTGAATGACTATCAATGTTAGCATGCTACTAAATTAATAGATATATAAGGTAGGTAGAGATATATAGCTATATAAATATAACCCATGATTTGGATTTTACATAGATAAATTAACTTAAGTAAGCATAGGTTAAAGGTTTTCATGTATGGAGATAAACAAGCCATTCTTAGGCGTTGTTACTGTACAATTGATATATGCAGTGTACTTTGTACTCACAAAGCTTGCTTTCGATGTGGGAATGAACACATTTGTGTTTGTGTGCTACAGACAAGCTGCCGGCACTCTTGTCTTGGCCCCCATTGCCCTTTTAGTCGAAGGGTACGTACAATTACACCTATACCCCTCTCGCTCTCTTTCTCTCTTCAACTAATTTCATGTGATGATATAGTTTTAATCTGATCCACAGCAAAAGAGCTCCTCCGCTTTCATTCACAACTTTCTCTAAGATTTTTATGTTCTCCCTTCTAGGGTACGTATTTATGGATCTCTTATTACTTTTTACCACATATTCAGTATTTTTTTTTTATTTCAATATGTAAATCGGTAATTTTTTGAACGTATTGGGGTATGTGGGTGTTTTTGTGGTTAATTTGCAGAATTACGGTGAGCTTGGACGTGGTTGGCGTAGGTTTGAAGTACACGTCAGCATCTCTTGGAGCCGCCACTACCAACACTCTTCCTGTTTTAACTTTCTTTCTTGCTGTTCTATTAAGGTAATTAAAATTTATCTGCCCTGACCGAATAATTAAATAATAAAAACACAATAAGTTACCCTTTAATTTTACTATGTTATCTACAAAAATACGTCGATTTGGCTATTATCGAATTTAATACAATATTTTGCTAAAATTGTTAAAAAAAAAAAAACCAATTAATCTCGAATTAAACGTTAATGAATTAATTCGGGCAAATCAATTAATTGAAATGGAAGCTAATTAGTTGAAAAAAAATTGCAGACTGGAGACGTTGAATCTAAGGACAAGCCCTGGAATAATGAAGATAGCTGGGGTAGGACTTTGTGTAGGAGGAATTGTAATTATCGCATTCTATAGGGGCCCTTTATTCAAATTACTTCTCCACGATCACTTGATTAGTAGTTACTCAGAACCAACCCAGGAAAAGGTGTCGTCATCATCGACATGGATTAAGGGCGTCTTTCTCATGCTGCTTTCTCAGATGGCATGGGCTTTGTGGCTTGTTTTACAGGTCTCATAATCTTAATCACTTCATTTTTTCACTATAGTAATTAATTGAATAATTAATTCATGTGCTTAAAATTAAATGTGTTAATTAATAAATGTGTTAATTAATAAATTAATAGGTGAGGATGTGCTCGTGAAAATTGATTTAGTATCTTTTATTCTATTGTCAAATTGATTTGGTGTCTTCATATTATATTATTATTAGATATAAGTTCATTCAAAATTATGTTAGTCAATTAACAGCAAAACTGTCTGTTCTTATTGTACTCAGACCAATATTCTAAGCTCAATTTTGCCGATCATGTTATAAGCGGCGAAATTTATGCCGTAACAAATTGTTTATCGTTAACTTCATTAAAGATATTCGCATTAATTAATGTGTAACAATGTTATATATGAAGATAATTGTAATTTATTTGATTACTATAAAATATTCAGGGACGAGTACTAAAAAGTTATCCATCAAAGCTGCTGTTAACAGCTCTGCAATGCTTGTTGAGCACGGTACAGTCGTTCATAATAGCGGTTGGTGTAGCAAGAGATCCTGCTCAATGGAAACTTTCATGGAACATTAGACTTGTATCTGTAGCCTATTGCGTAAGGCTTTTATCATTCTTTTTTTTTTTNGAAAAAAAAAAAGGAAAAAAAAAATCACTCTTCGAATAATTCAAAGTCTACCCTGGAAGTTAGACCTGATTACTTAGAATAGTGTAGCATTACCAATTATTTTAACCCTTTTTTCTTGATATATATTTATATTTATGATTATTAATCGATATAACTAATTTTCTAAAACCATTTTTTCCTTACAAAAAATGTGTAGATTTGAAACTTATTAATGATGGACTATTAATTAGAGATAAATTGAGACTCTTTTTATTTATATATTTTTTCAATTACTATTATATACGTTTTGTTGCGTAATATTATAGGGAATAGTGGTGACTGGCTTTACATTTTACCTGCAAGCATGGATAATTGAGAAGAAAGGTCCAGTCTATCTGGCCATGGCCACTCCACTTGTTATGGTCTTTACAATCTTGCTCTCAGCAGTTTTCTTGGGAACAACTATTAGTCTCGGAAGGTAAATTTGTTTCTTATATAAATATATATTAATTCTAATTGAATCGGGAAATATTATGCATTACATATATAAGTGTTAGAATTAAGAAATACAAATTAGAAATTTCAAAATATAAATAATATGAATATAATTTTGAATTTCAAATGTGATATAAAAAAATTGCATCGGTAGTTTGATTTAAAATGTCATTCAAGTGACAAGATAATTTTGTTAATAAACTTTGCTAACTCTCGTGTTGTTACTATATATGTGATAGTATGTTGGGAGCAATTTTTCTGATTGGAGGGCTTTACTTCGTACTTTGGGGGAAGCGCAACGAGGAAAAAAGCCTAAAAAAGTTGTCACAAATCGGTGATGTTGAGAACGCACCTGTAGCATCATAATATGATCAATGTACTTTTAAACATTTTTCTGCCCACCAAAGTCTGGTGTTTTCCTATTTTAACTTCTTTGGAAGTATTTTGTCTTCTTTATTTGGGAATATTTTGTAATATTGTTAGGAGTTTTTATGTTAATGAGGCTCTCCCGNAAAATTCTCTTTTTTAATTGTGCATGGCTTTAGAAAATCTAATCTCTCTATAGCTTTGTTTGATAAACTATTGTTTTCACTATTAAAAAAAAATAAATGGAAAAAAATAAAAAAAGAGTGGACAAAAATCAATTAAAATTAAAAAAATTTGTAAAATTATTTTGTAAAATTAAAAAAAAATTATTTTCCATTTTAAAAAAGAAAATCAATTTAAATTAGTAATTATAAAACGTATTCTCAGAATACGTTTTACAATCCAATATAAAAAAAAATTGTAAAACGTATTCCTGGAATACGTTTTACAATTAAATAAATATAAAACGTATTATGAGAATACGTTTTACATTTAAATATATATAAAAAAAAAACTCTTCTTCTCCCTCACTTACGAGATAACAGAGAGCAGGAGCAGAAATAAAAAAAAAAATTGAGCGATTTTGAAGAGAGCTTCGGGGAAAAAAAAAACGCGATCCAATCCCTATCCGACGCGAATCGACAACAACGACACGAGCCTCATTTTCGATTAATTCATTCGCACAAGGTATATTGGTTTATCTCAACTTTTTACATTGTTTGGAGTTGTTTGGAAATTGAGAATTGTTATAGTATGTTTGAATGTGATGGTGTTTGAAGATTGAGAATTGTTAATTGTTTATCGATTATGTGTGTATGTTGAATTGGAGATTGGAATTTTGTTGTAAATTGTCAATTGTGTATTGGTTGGTTGTTGTTGGGCTTAGGGTTTTCGAAATTAGGGTTAGAATTAGGGCTTTCAATTTATTCGAAATATAGATGAATTGTATGTTACTGTTGGATTATGGGTATTAGGGTTTTAGAGGATTATTTGATTGGAAATATTTATTTTGGTTTTTTCGTTGGAGTAAAAAAAATGCTTTTCAATTTAGAATGGTAAAAGAATAATTGAATTTTTTGGGTGTCGGATTAGACATTATGTGTTGTTGTAATTTGGAAGAATTGAAAGTGTTTTTTTTGCGACAGGTATAAATGGCGTATTCCGGTCCATACCTTGTTAATTTGTACTGCCATTTTGCGAAGGAAAGGTTAAGTGAATTTGTTTTATTTAAAGATAGTCCGGATGGTTCTTTTCTTATTCCGGAGAGGATATCATATCAACAATTGGTAGAAATAATTAATGAAAATTGTTTGTTTGGAGAAGGTTGGACAATGAATGAGATTACTTTGATAGTTATCCAACCCGGTGGTTCGTTGAATTTCTTAAGACTCAATAACGATAATGTTCTTCAGTATATTTATTACCTTCCTCTTATGTCCATGGTGTATTTGCATTTATCGTTGGAGGCAATTACACCGGTTACACAGGTTGAGGATGTGTGGGGATGTTACGGGGGAGTGGTAGATGATGAGGTTACGTCGACTTCTCATCTACGTAATTTTGGAGAAGGGACAAGCTCAACAATGCAATGGGAAAATGAGAATTGGGAAGAAGAAGAATGCGATGAAGATTTCATTCCTGGTGAAGATGATTTCACAGATGAGTCCTCCGAAAGTGAATCAGACAGATCGATAAATGAGGAGAGTTAACCCGAATTGATTGAAGAGGAAGACCCTCTTCCTAGTGGTGGTCGCCACATTTATCGCGAGATGGGTGAATGGGAGCCATCGAAGATAAATGAGAACGAGTATGCTCTTCCACGTTGGAATGGCGACATAGAGACCATACGTTTGGGTACAGTTTTTAAGAGCAAGAAAGAAGCACAATCCGGTATCTTGGCTTGGAACGTTGATAAGTTGAAGGCGGTTCGGACAACAGATTATAATCAAAAGTCATACAAAGTGGTCTGCAAATCTAATGAAGATGAACCTTGTGTGTGGAAGGCTCGGGTGACTAAGAAACGGGTTCATGAAATGTAGAAATTAACTGAATGGACTGACAGACACACTTGTATGCAACGGGTCGAGAGAAATGACCAAAAAAACGTAACCGCTCGTATGATTTCAAATCTTGTAATTAACAAGATTGAAAAGAAACTGGACTACAACGTTAGACTGATCCAGGCCGATGTGAAACAGTGCTGGAAAGTCGATGTCAGCTACAAGAAGGGGTGACACGGAAGGAGAAAAGCCATCGAGCGTGTGTATGGCTGTTGGGAATCGAATTTCCTAGAACTCCCTCGGTAAGCAAAAATTAATTACAAATACATGTGTCGTTTGTCTGTCACTATGTTTATCTATTTATGAAACCGTTTTGTAATTTGCAAGTTTTTTGCCGCGCTTCAAAGAGCGAATCCCACCACAGTTGTACAGTGGGAATGGCAGGTGGGGAAATTGCGCATCAGTATCAAGACAGACAATTCAAATTTGTATTCTGGGCGTTTCGTCCCGCCATTCAAACCTTCCAGCGATGCCCGCAGGTGATTAGCATCGATGGCACACATTTGCGCGGATCGTACAAGGGAAAATAGCTTGTGGTTGTAGCACAGACAGCGAATAAGCGGCTATTGCCAATCGCCTATGCGATTGTTAATGAAGAAAGCAAGGATAGCTGGTCATTTTTCCTGACAAATGTGCGACAATATGTTGTGCTCGACCAACAGATCTGTGTTCTCTCTGACAGGGATAACGGCATACTCAGTGCCATTGACTCGTTGGTTGGTTGGCAAGAACCCGCTGCATATCACCGGTGTTGCCTTCGACACCTTCGAAGCAACGTGGTCACTAACTTTAGGAATAAGAAAGTGCGTGATTGGTGTTGGGATTTGGCTTCGTAGTTGTCGGAGCAAAAGTTTCGAGCGACAGAACAACGACTGTTGGAATTTAATCCCCAGGCACACAAATACCTTTTCGATATTCTCTTGAACAAGTGGATCCTGTATGGAGATGAAGGAAGACATAGATGGGGCATATTGACGACCAATATGTCGGAGAGCTACAACAACGTCTTGAAAGGCGTTAGGTTCCTGCCGTGCAGAGCTTTAGTACAGGCCACATTGGAAAAAACTCTGGATTTGTTCGAACAGGAACAAAAAAAGGCCACGAGATGCATGAGTCCCATTGCTACTCAACACTATATCGCCTATTTGGAATTAGAGAAGAGAGCCGCAACCCATACTGTGAAATGTGTGAACGTCGAAAGGTCCAGGTACAAGGTCAAAATCGGTCTACGGGCTAGTGGGAGAGGGCAAAACAGGTATATGATTTTTTTTTTCCATTGAAATTTTTGAATTTTTATATATATAAATGATTGTTTGTGTTAACAGCTATAAGGTTAACTACCCCCGGAAACGTTGTAGTTGTCTGAAGTGGCAGACACACAAGAAACCGTACTCTCATGCAATAGCTGTAGCTCGTCAAATCGGGACTGATCCAAAGTCATTATACGATAATGCATTTTGGACGGAGACCTGGGTAGCTCAATTTACTAATTGGTGTTTTGCTCCAATTGGTACTGCGGATACATGTGCGCCGGTGGGATGAAATTTGATACCACATTGGGAGAGGATGATCTTGAAGCCTGGACCCGATCGCAATCAAACGAGACGCTATCGCATGCAAATAGATCGTCGGGCGCGCCGCATGAATGATAGGGGACAGTGTTCAAGATGTGGTAATCCCGATCATATTGTGGATGAGTGTCCGTCCTTACATCCTCGCACTGATAGGTCTAGACTTCGTGATGAGTGGGGGAACTAGATTTATTAGTGTGTATTCGGATTTGTTTGGAGGATTCATTTGGATTTGGTTGGATTGTTTATTTTGTTTTGTTTGGATGGTTTATTTTATTTGAATTTGTTTGGATATTGTTTGGATGGTATTTACGGTAGATTAGTTGATTTGTTACTGTAATTTTGGTTTGGATGGTATTTTGGTTTAGATTGTGTATTTCGATTTGTTTTGTTGTTTTGGATTGTTAGAACAGGTTTTTTGGGGTGTTAGAATGGAAAAAACTTGTTATTTTTTTTTCACATCCCAGTAGAAAACGTATTACTAAAATACGTTTTACACTGGGACGCTGGTCGTGTTTTCTCATCCACAGGACTCGTGTAGAAATGCCGAATGAAAATTCCCAATTTTTCATATCCCAGTTTAAAACGTATTTCCGAAATACGTTTTACAATATTTAAATGTAAAACGTATTTCTAGAATACGTTTTACAAATATTTATATGTAAAACGTATTTCCATAAGACGTTTTTAAAAAAAATAGTTTATATATTATATATTATGGTATATAATATATGATAGATATTATATTATATAGTATATTGTTTGTAATATACAACATAACATAAACTATAGTATATAGTGTATAGTGTTATATAGTATATAGTGTTATATGTTATAACATAATAGTATTTAGTATATAGTGCTATATGTTATAACATAATAGTATATAGTGTTATATACTGTATAGTTTATAACATAAGAATAAAATTTGCGCAAAAATAAATGTGATAGCCTAGCGGCCTAATGGTAAGGAGCTGTGTCCAGAGATAATGAACTCGGCCCACTCGGGTTCGAGTCTCGAATCTGGGGTCCTTGTACCATTTTTTTTAATATGTAAACAGATTCTCAGAATCCGTTGTACAAATAAATATAACGAAAAATACATAAAATTATTTTTTTTAATAAAACCTATTTGAAGAATATGTTTTTTTTAAATAAAACATATTTGAAAAATACGGTTATTAACGTTTAATGTTTATTTAATTAAGTTAATCACGTAATTAGAAAATACGTATTTAGAAAATCCGTTTTATAAGTAAAAACGGATTTTGGAAATCCGTTTTACCTTGTAAAACAGATTTTCAAAATACGTGTTTTTTATTTTGGTCCACAGTCTCTTTTTTTTGTCCACTTTTTTTTTAAAATAAATAAATAATGCAATCAACTTGCTTTGAATGTAATCCGTTGAAATAAGTGTTTAACCATTTTTTAATAAAACAACTTTTTCAAAGATTATTGTATTTTAGCTGCAAATGGATATAATAATTTAATACAAAAAAATAAATAAAAAACTATCTCATTGCAAACATTGATGAA